CTCTTCTTCTTCTTCTTCTTCTTCTTCTTCTTCTTCTTCTTCTTCTTCTTCTTCTTCTTCTTCTTCTTCTTCTTCTTCTTCTTCTTCTTTTCTCTCTCAAACACATAAGACTCTGTGTAAGTATTATTGATTGAATATTTATTGCTTCCGCACACGCTATTAATGTGTGCACAAGGCGAACACCAGTTTCTTGTGAATCTACAAGTACAACTGGCCTTGTTGCATCTGCTGTTAGTGGAACACAAGATCTCTGTCTTTTATTACTCTCTGTTGCAAACACAGCTCCACCTGGAATTGCTCTCAAATTGTCATCGGGAATAATTTTGTTTTGCTCATTGATAGTAATACTACTAGAAGATGCACCACTACCTGGGGATACACATAAATATTTTTCTCCAATACTACCAATCATGTCGAAATTAGAGGGAACTGAAGTGTTGTTGAGCTCAGATAACATGCTTTATACCCAATCAGAAAGATCAGAAAGATTTTTATGAACTGTATCAATAGAAAGATGAGAAATTCCATCTTCAATACAAGACAAACTTCAGCCCTGAAGTTGCCCTGAAGTTCATCACAAACATAACAAAGTTTCAGCTAGAACATGCTAAAGTTCAGCAAATATAGAACAAAACTTCAGCTAAAACATGATGAAATTCAACAAATAGAGAACAAAACTTCAGCTAGTAGAATTCTTAAGTTAAGCAATTACAAACAAAAACTTCAGCCAACACTTGGTTCAATAATTTTTGCTACTTCAGACCCGTCTACTAGAATGCTGAAGTTTGCGTGATTGCCTTTGCTACTTCAGGCAAAAACCTCAGCTAAAATGCTGAAGAGAACAAAACTTCAGCTAGTAAAATGCTGAAGTTCAACAAATAGAGAACAAAACTTCAGCTAGTAAAATGCTTAAGTTTAGCAATTACAAACTGCTTCAGGCCCGTCTACTAGAATGCTGAAGTTTGTGTGATTGCTGCCTGTATGCCCGAAGTTTACGCGAAAAGTGGGTATGCTTGCAATTTTTTTTGCAAAGCGGTTATAAGTTAAAACGTGACCCAAAAAGCGGGTGTAGATGCAAATCCCCACTTTTCTCTCTCACAATGTCCTCCGCCCCAAACAAGAAAGGGGTATTATCACATTTAACCCGCGCCAGAAACTATTTACATTCGATAGCCGGAAAAGAGTATCAAATTTGTATAATTTTTGTATATAACATACATAATGTATATATATACAAAAAATATACAAATATTACACACTTTTTCGGCTATTATTTTGAGAGTGACTATATTTTCCAACCAGGAAAAGTCGTAGTGTGCTGCTTTAATATTAAGGATGCATACCATGCAATTTATTTTAGTTTGGCCATTTAACACTGTTGGATGGCAAAGGAAAAGTCTTCTATAAAGTTGACATTACTGAAATTTTAGCAGGTTTGTTCATTCTCCACTTTTGTGCAAATTGCACCTAGAGAAGAAGATAACAAGTCTCCAAAATGTAGCATCATCTCTCCAGACAAATGTTACACTATATAAGAAGCACTAGATGAGGCATAATTCCTTGCATCACTCACTTCTCTTCTCATCCTCTGCCTCAAACTAAAAGTATCAAAAATGAAACCATTTTTCTTTCAATTTGCAGCTATCCTTCTGTTATTGCTTAATACTATTATGATGATAGAAACTCAAGCAGCTTATGTTAAACCTCAGCGAGTCACGTGCTATAAACGTTACCGCAAATGCTATCTCAAGTACATAACTTGCCCCTCTGAATGCCCAGAAATTCGCCCAAAAGATCCCTATGCTAAAGAATGTTTTCTTGATTGTTACTCTCCAAAATGTGAAGCAGTATGTAGAAGTAAGAATTTTCAACTCATTCTTAAGAATTGTTACTAATGTCAAGCTAAATTTGAGAAGCTTAGCAATTTTTGGCCTTCTTTGGTTGCAGAAGTAGTAATATAATTACATTATAGTATAAGCTAATGAATGTTCATTTGTATTTACAGAACGAAGACCAAATTGTGATGGTCCTGGTGCAGCTTGTTACGATCCTCGTTTCATAGGTGGAGATGGGATTGTTTTCTATTTCCATGGCAAAAAAGATGAGCATTTCAGCCTAATTTCAGATGTCAATCTTCAAATAAATGCTCGTTTCATTGGCCTTCGTCCTGCTGGCAGAACACGAGATTTCACATGGATCCAAGCTTTAGGCCTCATATTTGGCTTCCATAACTTCACTCTAGAAGCCACAAAGGCAGAAAATTGGGATCAAGAAGCTGATCACTTAAAATTCACATATGATGGGATGAGTTTTAATGTTCCAATAGGCTATTCATCGGCATGGAATTCACCTGATGAAAATCTTGAACTTGAAAGGACCTCAGGAACAAATAGTGTAAGAGTTACAATTCAGGAAATAGTGGAAATCTCAGCCAATGTTGTTCCTGTTACAGAAAAAGACGACGCGATACATGGTTATCAAATTCCTAAAAATGATAGCTTTGCTCACTTAGAAGTGCAATTCAGGTTCTTTGGTTTGTCTCCAAATGTTGAAGGCATTCTTGGCAGGACTTACCAGCCAAGTTTCAAGAATCCAGCCAAGCCAGGGGTCGATATGGCGGTTGTTGGTGGTGATGACAAGTACAAGACTAGCTCACTTCTATCAACTGACTGCAACTCTTGTGTTTTCACTCCTGGAAAAATGTTTGCTGAGAGAGATTTGGCATTAATGGACTATGGCTCTCTGGATTGTACTGGTAGAGGTATTGATGGTGGAAAAGGAATTGTGTGCAAGAAATGATCTTTTTCTCTTATTAATCACATAGTAAAAGAAAGGAAGCCAGCCAATATGGCTATCCAATTAGTACAAGTTCAATTCTTATGTTTTATGCTAGTAATAAGTAATGTAACAGTTTGAACTCAGCTATGTTTGATCCCATCAATGCGTTGTTTATATGGTGAGTTACTTGTTTTAACTCAGTTTAATTTAATTGTATAAAAGTCCTCCAAATTTTCACAAACTAAGTAAATTCGAATAAATGTTGAATACTACTCAAAAGATTTAAGGGAGTTTGATAAAATAAAAATTAAAAAAGCATAATAAATTATCTTCGACAAAAGAAAAAAAGTTGTCGCTAAAAAAACAATTATAGAGTCATGTTTAGTGTACTTAATCATATTTTCTTTTATATTCCTTTTGACAAGTAATAAAGCTTTGAATTTGATCATCGGTAGAACTTCCTTTTCACGTCTTAGAAAAATTAAAACTTCTTTTTCTTCCATTTAATATACTCCTAGTACTTAACACTAGTGATGAGAGTTCTCAAGAAAGGAAAATAAAAACAATTATAAAGTGTGGGGGCCAGAATGACACGTAGAGAGTATTGCAAAAACTCAATTATTGAATATGCTTTAGACAATTGGACAATCTTATCTTAAACTTGGTTTTCTGAAATTGATTACCCAATCAAATTATCTTACTATTATTTAAATATAAGTTTGAAACTACCGCGTTTCTTAACTCAACTTATTTTGTGAATATAGTACATCACTTAGTTCAACTACTCAGTTCAATACCATTCCTAGGGTTTACTCCACCTTAAAATCGTGTCATTCTTGATTCTTGAAGCTCCAATAACTCTCTCTAGCAACTGGTACTATCTTTTTTTCCTTTTATTTATTTGTTTTGTTCTTTTTAATCCTGTATATGTACTTTAAACTACACAGAAACATTTCCTTTTTTATTTTATTACAGATTGTGCAATTTGATCGGAAGAGATGGGTGGGTTTGAGTTAAGATGGGTTGTAAGAGTAACTGTTGTACTAATGATGGTTCCAAAGATTCTTGGTTGGGGAAAAGAAGGACACTATGTTATCTGCAAAATTGCTGAGGTAACTGAAGTTTTTTTCTTTTTAAACTTTTTTGCTGGCCATTTTTTTCTTTCTGTTATGTACTTTTTGAGCCAATTCTTGAAGAGATTTAGTGTTTGGATAAAAGGGGTGTTTAATTTTTGTTAATTTTTTATGGATTTATTCATAAAGGTTGAATCTTTATGTACTTACTTGCAGGATCTTGTGTTGACTAGTTATTTGATTTTGCATTTGGCATTTGCCTGAACAAGTTGAGTCTTTTGAGGGGTTTTATGGGTGTGCATCCATTGCTGCAGATAATAGTTTGTAAGGAAATGAAAGAGAAGGAAATAGGAAAATAGAGAGAAAAAGATCGTTTTTCATTCGTTCATCAATGCTTTATAATTGTGACTACTACTGAATATGAACAGTGTAGTAGTAATCTGGAACAGCAGAATATTATTGAAATTACCATCTTAACAAACTGAACTAGGGTGCTTAAGAAATAAAAATGGAAATTGGGACTATATTGTTAATGATAGAAACTCTGACGTACTATTTAGGAAGCTCATGGTACTGCTACATAGTTTTTGCTAGAATCATCTGATTTGGAGGTTACTTGATCTGGCAATTATCTAGTGACATAGAATGTAATTTCCCAGGTTACAATCAAATTTTCAACCCAGAAGGATCTTTTCTAATGTAGATCTCTTTTCAACATAATATTCCCATGTATCAAATGTGCTATTTCTAGGAAGTAGTGTCTATATCAGAGAATTCGGGGCTTCCATTTGGTTTTTGCCTTTTCATATTTACCCTCTTTTTAATTCAGTTTTGTTGATGTTCTAAAATAGATAGTCTTTGTGTGCTTCAAGTGATCAGGTACTGGATGAAGGTTCTTGTTAGACATTCATATAAACTTGCTTGGTTGAAGCATATATTATATTGACTTGATTTAATCGAAAATTTGACACTGCACTTCAAATAGAATAAAGTCTTTAGTATTTTTCTTTAAGTTTAGTGTTTAGATTGTCAAGGAAGAAAGCATATGGAAAAGGATCGCCAATTTTTTTTATTTTTTATTTTTTCCAAAAAGTTTGGTCGAGCAAGCTCTTTTATTGGGAGTTAATGTGAATCTTGGGCCTTTCAGGAATATCTTACAGAAGATGCTTTGGCTGCAGTCAGAGAGTTACTACCAGATCAAACTGAAGGTGATCTTGCAGCTGTCTGCTCCTGGGCCGATGAGGTTAAGCACCACTACCCGTACT